TAATGATTTGTCTAGATGTTATGAAAAGAAGAGGAAGATATATAACATCAATGAGATGAACTCGTTAGGTTAGGGTTTGACGGTTTGTCAATCATAATATTCGATTATTATATATCCATAATATATATGATTATAAAAAAATGAATCGAATATATTCATTGGCTATATATGTCATGGATAATCATAAAATTATCACATATATATATATATCTAAGTAACAATTCTCTCGGATATCTAAGAAAAAAACAAAACATAATTATTAATAAATCATATATATATGAAAATCATAGATATACATAATAGGACAAAAATAACTCACGTATTTATCCATATATAGAATAGGATCTATAAAGAACCAAATAGTAAGAACCATATCAAAAACAATAGGCAAAGAAAATCCTGAAAAATATAAAGAGTTTCCAAATTAAAAATTTTCTCGTCAGGTTTATACATTGACATACAACCGTATGAATTATACAACTATGGCATAATAAAATATTGAATCATACCTTTAACACAAAGGAGAATCGAAACCTAATGCCCCTTCTTCACAATGGAATCTCCAAAAGATCTAAAAACGAAGATCATGTTAGTTGACATGGATTTTAACTCCTAAAACATATGTGGAGAACGGTTTAGAAGATAAATAAGTTATAAAGTAATCTCTCAGTTAATACCAGTGGTCGCAGTCTTGTTCTTCAATCACATATCACATATGTCTGCGAATGTATTTTTAGCCATGCAAGCTTGCCAAGTAGTTTGAGTTTCAAATATATGTAAATAACATTGACTTTGAATTATTGATTTGGTGTAGGTCTTAGTGAATGATATAACCACATGCTAATCTATTGAATATTAAATTATATCATTTTAATCATTTTATTCTTATTCTCAACCGAAGCGGCGATGATTATATATATCGCCGCCTGAGAAGCAAAATCAATATCGGAAAAGCGCCAAAAAAAAAAATCAAAAAAGTTTATGTTTGATATGAAACTATATTCTCAGGTTCCACAAGCTCACTTAGGTGTTTGAGATTCAACACTTCCACTCCGTTCACAGGTGAAGAAAGTGAACGGAGTGAAAGTGTTGAATCTCAAACACCTAAGTGAGCTTGTGGAACCTGAGAATATAGTTTCATATCAAACATAAACTTTTTTGATTTTCTTTTTTTCGGCGCTTTTTCGATATTGATTTTGCTTCTCAGGCGGCGATATGTCGGCGGCCGGTGCGACCCTTTGGCCGTTGCACCAATCACTGCCGGACTCACCACCACACGCCGCCATGTCGGAGATTCCTTAGAAACCACCTCCGAACGACCCTCTATTTCCTCCGATTACTGCAACACAGTCAACATACCGTCTCTCCGGATTTAGACGACGGAGATACCATCGGACAAGGCGGCGCGTATTCTTCACCTTCCTCGATGGGTTCTTGGTCTAGAGGATCCCATTACCACCACGATCATCACTACCATCATCATCCAAAAATTCGGTACCTTCTTCTCTGTAAACTACGTTTGCCGTTTTTCTGCGACGGTGGTGGATCGACGGTTGTGGTGGGTCAAGGGCTTTGTTCGGGTAGAAACGTGGGTCATCGGATCTTGGGTCTTCTCATGATTCTCGTCGTTGCTTCACTTTTCTCAGAGTTTCTCTCATGAGTGGTCGAGTCGTTGACCAAGCGCATCGGAGGGATTTGAATGAGCTCGTCGTGGTACGGACTTTACATGAAGATTGGTACATGGCTCAACGTCGATAAGAAACCATAAAAACTGCAAACAAATAATTATTTAGACGAACATATAAAAAATATATATGAGATTATATAATAAGCGTGGATCAAATCCTAGACTTGATAATTACACCGAATTAATCTCTGCCCAAACGATTCCCCATAGAAATATAATAATAAGAACAGTGAAACATGCGGGAAAACAAAACCGACTAAAAAACTAAACATATGTTAAAAACAGACATCACCGAGTCTTGTTCCAAAACAATATTTATAAGAAATTGTAGAGATGGTGGCTAGGGTTTTCGTAAAATAGACTTGGTTTATGGGCCACAGAAAACGGGTTTAAACCCAATAATTATCACCAAACGAATTAGGGTTATTTTAGTTAAGAAAAAATCGATGGCAAGGCTTGTAAATACAACGATTCATTAAGGGTATTTTGGACAGATCAACTTTTAAACTCACTCTGGAGCCGCTACGTAGGAAAAATGACTTCTCATTTATAAGTATAGATGTAAAGCTTGGATAATTTACATGAGGAACATAAGAATGGAAAAAGATGAGATTTCTTCTGACCCATGCGAATTAAACTTCTTCGAACGAGTTTTTAAATATATTGCTTCAATTGAAAGTCCAAAGTTGAGAAAAATCACATTCAATGTCTTGGCTCCTTTTGCCAAGTAAAATCCTTTTGCGTCTTGAATAATCCAACGCTCACGCTCAATCCACAGGTCAAGTCTCTCTTCCTCAGAGTTTGCAGCCTAAAGTGCTAAGAATAAGAACATTTGCAGCCCAAAGATGGCTTTATACAGCCAAAAGAATGAACACTCTTATTCCTATTAGGA